GGGGGGGGGGGGGGGGGGGGAGGTGGAGGGAGGGTTGGTTCACTTCTTAGGAATGGTGTGTGCTGTCTTGTTACACCTGTCCTCAAAGACATCCTGAGCCTGCACTCCGAGGTCTGGTTGGAGCACTTGAGAAATGAGAGACTCTCATTTTGGGAGGGGCAGAAGAGACCTCTATGCCTTCTATAGTACACACACACTTGGCTGTGGGACACATTAACGAAGACTTGTATAAAAATAAATTTTCTTTTTCACCCTGAGGGAAGGGAATGTGTTACTGTTTCAACTTGGGCTACAAGAATAGGAAAAGTGTCCCCATGCCCCTGAGACATGGGTCTGAAAACAGTCTCCAACTGTAGAAACACCCAGATGAGATGGACTGCAGTACCCAAGGGAGGAAGCAGTAGGTATCAGTGGGGCCAGTAAATATGTAACAATAAATGTTCTGAAATATATGCTAAGGCAAACTTATAATCTACCTTAAAAAGTTTTGCCTACTACATTTAATGTGAAAACACTCCACTGAGGTCAACCTGATAGCACTTTAATCTTCTGTTTAGAGGCCCAGGCCCTGGACTCACTGACGTAAGGACAAATATTTAAGCCAGTGTCAGGCTGTTTATGTAACATGTTAGTAGATGCCAAGTAGACCCCTGTATGTTCTTAAGCAAGCCTGGGGCTGCAAGGGGTTTTTATTAGTTGTTTTATAAATGAACAGAAGTAATAATGCAGGACTCTGGAAGCCGGAAATGGAGCCCTAAATTATCAGGAAATAGTGTGGTCAGTTAGTTGTCATGAAAAGCCATGGTCAGGGCTGGGAAATATGTATTGTTATGTAAATGTCCCTTTGTGAGGGGGCAAAGAAAAAAAACACACACACACACACACACACACACACACACACACACACACACACACACACACACAGAGGGTAGGGTGGGAGAGACAGAGAGAGAGAGAGATTTTTGACACCTATGCTGGCTCGAAAATCTTCTCCTCCAAACACAACTGCATCTAGGAACAGGCCCACTTGAGGCCCAATCCTCACTGTTTCTTCACACACTGCCTGGAAAAGAGCAGAACAGAGTCTCAGAGGCTGGGAGCCAGGGAATCCATGGTAGAAAAGATCCGGATGCTAACACACTTTGGCTGAAACACAATGAGCCCTTCCCCAAAGCCGTTAGCGTTCTCCAGATAAGAGTCTCATACACATTTGCTTGGCCTGCTGTTTACATTAATATAGCCGTCCACTACTTAATCATACGGCTAGGATGTTCAAATTAGAGGCCACCCAATTTTCTAGGTAACTTTGGGTGAACTTTCTTAGCTTCTATTATAAGTAATTTATGTCCCTTCAGAATTTGTTTTTGTCTTAAGAGACTTTAAAAAACAACCATAAAGCCACAGGATAGGAGTGACAGAATTTTTTTTTTAATCAAACTAATTGGATTTATCTGCATTAGGATCAAGTAAAATGGTTTCAGGCTTTAAAGTCAGGCAGTGCAAAACCCACAACTTCGGAGGGGAAATAAACGGCCATGAGTCACCCAGGGTGTACGAACAAAGCAACTCTGACATGTCCAAAAGGAAGTAAAGACGAGTTGTGTTTGTTGTACGCGGAACTGAGAGTCTTGGGACTGTGTTGTGCTAACATTTGTGTGGGTGGGAAACTGTGGATTAACTTCAGGCATGGTGGGAGCTCCTAAATACATGACAGAATAACATGGCAAAAGACTGCTTTAAAATTAAACCACCGTTAAACAGTATCTGATCCCAGCTCAGGTTGTGTTCAGGATGCTAGGGCAGGCTGTAGCGCTCTGTGGTTATTTGTATAAAGGAGGCGGTCACAAGACAGTCTTGAAGCAGACGCCCTAAAATATGTGCACTGGGCCCCTCCTGCACAGTCCTCCAGGTCTGTAAAGCTTCCCTGAGCCTTTGCTTGTACTCTCTCCATCTCAGGTCAGCTAACTTTTTTTAGTGATATTATTTTTTCTCCTGCCCTCTGGAGTGGAAGAAAATAAAACAAAATATAGAAACACCAAGGACTAGAAAGTCTGAGAAGAGGGTGCAGGGGATGCTAGACAGTCATTCAAAGGTCAGGGGGATGGGAGACACATTCTGGGAAATGATATAAAGGCCAACAGATCTGGGGAGGGCGGGGGGACAAATGAGCTGGCTATGAATCTGACAAGGCAGGTAGTTTAATGCAGCCATACAGTGGCTGAGAATTGGCTCGGTTCATCTTCTTAAATGTGTGTTAGAAAACACTTTGTCTGAAATGTGATAAATTGAAACAAGAGATTATAAATTATTTACGTATGTGAGCTATAAACAATAATCTTATCTGCTAGGGACTACAGATAATAGTACCACAGAGAGGCCAGGGGATTTGCTGATGGAAAGACAAATTGTAGGAAAAAGCAATTCAAATTTAATTCGTAAAGGTGACAAAGTAAAATTTCCATGTACATTTAATCTCTACATGTGATAATTCAAAACATATACTTATCCTGTGATTTTACATTTATGCATACTCCAGGGACATACAAATATTTCGTTTAGATATTTGGTACTGAGAAGGCCCTCTTTCTAAGCTAGATTCTTTGTCTTCCAAGATATTGACAATCCAAGATAATGTTTTTTGGAGTAGGACAGATAAGCCATGGTTTAAATATCTTATTTTGTTTATAAATGTTTCTTTAACTTTTTTTTTAAAGTAGATGTTCAAACAAACAAACAAGAAAAAAAAAAACCAGAAGTTCTCTTTAGGTAATTAAAATAAAATGCTAACTTACATAACCACATATGGCTTTCTTACCTTAAAATTGAGCAAACCCATTGCAGTTTCCACAAAGGGGATTAAATTCATTGGTTGTTCAAGTTTTCGGCCATTTAAGTGGAATGAAAATTTGTCTGAAAACTAAAATCAGAAGTGTCATAGGTGATTAGCGACAAGAACAGCAGTTCAACCCCTAAGATGCAGACACAGGAGAAGGGCGGAAGCCTTTGACCTGAGGAAGTAATAACACCCCAACCTCCTTCATCTACACAAAGGGATGGGGAGGGGGGAGAAAGAAAATGCAAAGAAAACTAAAGGTAGCAAGGTTCCCCCCAAACCACATAGTGAAATCCCCAAACACCACAATTCGTTTGCTTCCAAAGGAAATAATTTGAGGCCTAGCTAGGAGTTAGAGGGGAAGAGAGAGTCCCAGGTTTAAATGCTTCCCTGGAAAACATATTTACTCAGGACCTCTCACCCGCTCCTCTCCGCTAAATGCAAATGGCAGGCTCTCGGAACAAAGCAGGGCTCTCTACCTGCCCTTACACCCACACATGTGCACTGCTCGGCTGCCTTCTACATATGTTGAATCTGTAGTATTCGTTATAGCGCCATTACCCTTTGTTCCGGAGGGTTTTCTTCATAATTTTTTTTAAGCTTACCTAGGAAGACCTTAAAAAGGAAGTTTAATTCTTTGAAGACCAAAGCTTGCCAATTTTTTCCATGAGACCAGTTCACAGCTAGCTCTGTGCTGCCAGTGGGGTAGCCCAAATTCCAAAATCTATCATCTGGAAACATACAAAAGCTCTCGCAGATCCCTCACACCCCCTGTCTCAAAAAGGGGGGGAGCCCCACAATCTAAATTGTAAATCTATTATGTCTATCTAGATCTAATAAGATGTGGGAAGATAAAAAAAAGAAACACAGGTATAATAAAGATATTTTTGTAAATAAAGTTGAAAACATATATATCCATTTAAATTTAAGGAATATTCAGCCGTTAATGGATATCAAAGGAAAAGGGAATTTTAATCATCTCTCCATTCAGTCTCAGTTGGGTAAATCATATCTAAGAGATTTGCATAAATATAAACCATCAAAGACTTTTCATCTTCAAAGGGGTTTCAAGACCCTATAAGCTTTGTACTGTAATCATCACAGGTCACCACCCTGCAGGAATAAGGCTGCTATGGCAACATAAAAACTAATGCTTAAGGCTTAGCATAATATTCTCACTAATAGAAAGGAAACTCATTTTAAAAGCTGGCAGCCTATTTACCAGAGGCAGGATTAAAGGTGTTATTTTCCCCTTTACCTGCCCCCTCCTTGCCTGTGCACCCCCCCTAAAAAAAACCTAATCACTGGGATCTTTAAAAAAAGCTTTTGAGCGATTTGCAGTAACTTTACAATTAGGCTAAAATAAATCACAGCTTTCAGTAATGAAGAATGGCTCCCCTCGCTTGGGGCCCCTCCCTCTTAGACAGCGTCACCACCACCTCCTCAGTAACTTTCAGGGAAGGAATAGCCCACCACAACAGCCAGGGTGAAGAGGAGGCTGAAGCTATGGAGCAGCCTGTATGGCACTAGACGCCGGGAAAAATAAAACATAATTTATGTCACAATTAAACTTGAAAACAAGTAGTGAAATATTGGTGGTGGTTTGAGTGTTGAATACATAGGTATGGATTTTCTTTTCTCGTTAAAAAAAAAAAAAAGAAAGAAAGAAAGAAGAAAAAAGAAAGAAAACTCCCAGGGCTACTTGGTACTATTCTCTGTGATAGTCATTATAACTACAAAAATCATAAAGTTTACAACGAGGTAAATCTTTTACAAGATATCCCCTGTTCTTAATGAACAAAACCTCTAATGCCTTTAGCTTTATAGCCAATAGGGGCATTTAAAAATTAAATATGCTAGCCCCTCCTCCCTTCCTCATCGCCTTCTTTCTTAAAAAATTGCATTAAGTACTGACACAAAAGGTAACTAGTGGAGAAGTTTCAATTAATTTTTTCAAAAGGAGACGATTAAATGTTTCCGGCCTGGTAAAGTGTTCATTGCATGGAGGTGGAGGGGACTGTGGAGGGGGGCGTGAGGAAAAGAAGGGGGGAAAATTACAAAGAGATTGGGGAGGAGATGAAGTAGCAAGGCTCAGCAATTCTTTCAATTCCAGTGCACACCCAATAGCGTGTTGGAAGAATGCACACTGTTGGGATTTGTGGGAGAATTGTCCCGCGACAAAAGAGGCAGAGTTACGCTTGTTACAGCCCAATAAGCCGTGCCAGTCAGACAAGAGCCCACACTAACGACAAAAGGCGAGCAGGCGATTCTCACACAAAAGAAAACAAGCAAGCCTGTCTTTCAGTTGTGGATCAGGCTTGGGTTTTACGCTCCGCAAACATACAAACGGAGAGGAAAATAAACAGCCCCAAAGACTTCTGCTAACTACAAGTCCTATTTCAGTTTCAGAGAGTCTCTCACATTTTGAAACAGCGACAGGAAGCTGTAGCTCAAGGTTGAGGAGATCACCCCCATCTTAAGTAAATGGTGATACCGGTGTTACTAGGCATTAACATGGAACCAAGAGGAAGAGGAACTTCGGAACCTGTATGGGGTAGGAGCGCTCAAGGCATTAATATTCTCTGCACCCTGTCTCTCTAAGTAACTAAGGCTAACAACCTTGGTGAGATCTCTGGTTTACTAAGCAAACACAAGCCCTTGATGACAGGCCTGTGAGACAGCTGCAATGCAGAGATGTCAACACAAATACCACGGCATCTACACGTACAATTTCCCGCCTTCTAGTGGCTACAGTCAAAGAGTAAGGTGGAGAAGAGAGATTGATTTTCATATCTTATATTCAACTAAGAGATCCCAGATATTATTGCTGCAATAAGGAATCAATATACAGATTGGGACATTTTCCCATTTTTCTCTCTCCACTTGGAAAGAATATCAACTTCCTAAACTCAGGCATGTGCTCATTTTGCTCACGATAAGCACACCTTGATTTGCACAGGCCACATTTCAAATGCTCAGTACCCACGGATGGCAGGTGGTCCAAGCATTGTCAAGAAAGATACAGCATACTCGGATGGATTAAGAAAAGGGAGCAGTAGGAGCTGGAGAGATGGCTCAGTGGTTAATAGAAATGGCTGTTCTTCCAGAGGACCCAGGTTCAATTCCTAGGGCCCACATGACAGCTCACAACTGTCTGTAACTTCAGGGGGTCTGACACCTTCATACAGACATACATACATGCAGGCAGAACACCAATGTTTATGAAATAAAAATATATTTTTTTTAAGTGAGCAGTTTTACCAGGTATGACAACTACTCAGGGTATTGCTATGGCTAGATACACAGCCTACAAGATAAAGTGAGGTGAGGCTTTGGATGCCCCCACCATACATTCAGTCTACTGACTCCCAATGGTTCTGCTCCAAGTGGCATAATAAAATGGCATTTAATTCAAGGGACTTGAAGAATAATAGTAACTCCCTATTCAATACCCCACTCCCCCAAATCTCACAATTAAAACAATCATAGCATAATTGGGACCATTTCAAAGTTTTCTTAAGTAATTTGACATACCAACCACTTTACATTTCAGGCTTTTATTGGCTGAAAAGTCTGTCGTGAAATGCAAACACACCTGACAGTAATTTAAAAAAGGGCGCACCAGAGAGCTGTTCAGGAAATAATATCTGAGCTAATTAAAACCACGAGTTAAAAGCTTCCTGTTTCCCCCTCCAGTTGCCCCCAGGAGTGACCTTTTCCTTGTCTGCTTTGGGCTCTTTGCTTCATATGTAGCTAGAGTTCCTCACGGCCTGTGATGGCTCCAGGAGAGCCTCAGCCAGAACCATCTATGTCATGGCTCTTCGAAGTGCAAACCCTGGCTTCCAGGGACAGGGTGGATGCTCATGCAAGTTAGTGTCCAGGGACTGATTTGTGAGGGTTGCTGAGGCAGCTGTTGTGACCACAAATCCAGTCAGAAAGCAATAGCAGTGTTCTCAAAGGAGAGCTCTTTTGGGAAACATGCTGAGCAATGCTGGATTCTTGGGGGAAGGAAATGGTTGGTGGTACTGCTTGCTTTCACAATCCCTTTTCTCCTCCATTGGTGATTCAAGATCTTATGCAGTCCAGGCAGGTCTCAAACTTGTTGTGTTCTCAAGGATGACCTTGAACTTCTGATCTTCCTGTCTCTATCTCCTGAGTGCCGGGCTTACATGCATTTGTCACTGCACTCAATCTTACTTGATGCTGGGGTATCAAGCCAGACAAGCTCTCTACCAACTCTACATCTAGCCCCATTTCTCCTCTTCTCTTCCTGTCTCTTTCTTTTTCTTGTGGGATTGACTGAATCCAGGACACATGACAAGCAACTGCTCTGTCCATGAACTATTGTGTGAGCTATGTGTGTGCATTTCTAAACCAATGGCATCCAGACCCTCTCCTGGTGACTGACTCCTTAGCTGGCCTTGAGTGCACAGTAAAGCACTGTGACTTACCCACCGGATTTCTTCAGGACCTTCTACCTTCGGCAGCATCAAACTAGAGGGAAGAACCTGGGACTGCAGAATTGTCTCTAGGTCAGCTTCAGCCAAACCACTAGACACCGAGTTGATTCTCACACACTTTTCCGTTGGGCCCAGGTCAAAGTCTTCAAGAGTTCTTACTATTCTCAGTCGAGCTTCATTCTGTAAATATTGAGAAAAATGTATCTCCTAAATTTATTTTTAGCATTAAGGGTAACCCAATGAACAGTCATGGAACTCTGATGGGCTCTCAGGGACACTGTGATCAGAGCCACACATTTTCTGCCCACAAAACCGATATTGGAAATGAATCATCCAAGCTTGCAGGGGAGTGAATGATTTCTACACGTTGTTCAAGACGGCTGCAACACAAGGGGGATATACCATCGTGCATACTGGTTGGTGTACCTCTGAATGGCAGAGTAATTGGCTCATTAGTGTACCTTCCAATTGAGGAAGGCAAAATAATTCATTGACTGGGCATTAACTGTGCACTAAGCATGGGTCCAAGTCTTTCCTTACATTTCTTCCTTTAATAAGCATTAGAAACTAGACACATTGTAATTGTGGCAATGTCACCTGCCAACATAGTCACATTAGGGAAAGGTAAGCATTAGCCCTTCCACTCCCCAGGTATCACGCTTTAAAAAAAAATCATAGTTTTTATTTATTTATTTTATAATCAAGTTGCATCTTTTTTTGTTTTGTTTTGTTTTTGTTTTTGTTTTTCGAGACAGGGTTTCTCTGTGGCTTTGGAGGTTGTCCAGGAACTAGCTCTTGTAGACCAGGCTGGTCTAGAACTCACAGAGAACCACCTGCTAGATGGTTGTGAGCCACCACGGGTGCTGGGAATTGAATTCAGGTCCTCTGAAAGAGCAGCCAGTGCTCTTAAGTGCTGAGCTATCTCTCCAGCTTTCAAGTTGCATCTTGACATTCAATTAAGAAGGGGTTCACAGGAATCTGACATTGAGTACTTCATGAGAGGCTCCCACTAATTCAGATGGAAACGGGAATATCCGAGAAATCCCTTCACTGAGTACTTGGCAAATAGACTGTTGTCTTTGATTTGACAGTCTTTGAGGCGGTTATGAGAAGCTAAAAGTCACATTTGAATTATCCCAAAAGAAAACTGTATGAGACCAAATATGTTATGCATTACCTTTGAGCTGGAGGTGAAGACTGTGGGATGGGTGAGTGAAAAGTGCACGCTAAGAGTTGGGGGTTGGTGTGGAGAAAGGAAGCTCTAGGGGCCATTATTTACGGCCAATTCTAGTTTCAGAAATAAAGTCCTCCATCTTGCCAACAGCCCTCAACAAATTCTCACTGCCAGAAGGAACACTTATCAAAGGTAGTTTCATTTGGGAAGAATTTTTATTACATCAATAAAACTTTAAAGCATCTAACTACTGATGAGTGCATTTGAAAAAAAAAAAGTCTTGGAGCTGGAAGTATGGGTCAGCAGTGAAGAACACTCTCTACTCTTGCAGAGGACCTAGATTTAGTTCTCAGCATCCACATGGTGGCTCACAACTGTCTGAAACTACAGGTCCAGGGAGTGACACTTTCTGCTGGCTTCCATGGGCACTAGTCACAAACATGGTGCACACACACACACACACACACACTCAAACACATAAAATAAAATCATATAAATCTTTGGGGAAAAAACTAACAATGTACAGCCATTTGAATGAGCCACATATCTAAGAAAACAGCTTCCCAAAGCATAGGTAACAATGAATTTTTTGCTTCGAGTAGCAGCATACACCTTTAGCCCTAGCACTCGGGAGACAGAGGCAAACAAGATCACTGACTTTGAGACCAGCTTAGTCTACATAGTGAGTTCCATACTAGCAGAGTTACATGGTGAGAGCCTATCTAAAACAATAAATAATTGAATTATTTAAGCCAAAATGAAGTCTAAACCCAAGACAGTTGACTTAAACCAGATACAAGCAAGTCAACCTCTGAATGGAGTTGGGGCCTGGGTTAAACAGTGTGATGAAAGAGTTGCTTAGAGTTTTTAGGACACGTAGAAATAGTACCCAAATGAGTTTAGGGTGTCTGTGCAAACTTGATTTAAGAGTGTTAGCTGTGAGTAATTAGGTCAAATTTAGGCAAAAGAGACACCGCATGAGATGATGCAGCCAATAGTGACTTGAGTCCACACAATGCCATTACTTAATTTTTTAGGTTTGTCTTTAATTATGTATATGTGTGTTGTAGGAAGTATGTGTATACAAACTTGGGTGCCCAAAGAGTTCAGAGGCTTCAGACTCCCCTCAAGTAGGAGTCATAGGTGGTTGTGATCTACACTTGATGAGGGTCTGGGGACTCAAGCCCTCTGCAAGCGAAGTATGAGCTCTTAACCTCTAAGCCGCCTCTCCAGCTTCCACCCCTACCCAAATTGGTTATTCCACACTTAGGTACCCCACTGTGTACTGTTGCTGCAGAGTTAATGACAATATACTGATGACCAAGAACAGGCCTTAGACCAACAGCAGGGTTTGAAGGCTGTCTATAGTAGCAGTAGGGGGTGCCTCTGTTTTCAGATCCTCGGCCTCAGAGAGCCTAAAATCCAGGTCACACTGCACACAGTCTGGACAGTTACAAAGTCTGGATAGTTTGGGTTTGCAAACATTCCCAACTTCTAGATTCTCACCCGACAGCCCTATAGCAAGTCAGCCTTTCAGAGAGTCCACCGAAACACTGGATGGGAAAAGGCAATTCTCTAGACCGTCTAGGGAAAGATTATTGTGCAGTCAAGCTGAGTATGGTGGCTGAGGGAGAAGGATGTCACGTTTTAGGCCAGCCTGATCTACATTGGAAGACCCCGCCTTTAAAAAGAAAAGACCGAGTGAATCAACATATCTACCAAACATGTGTGCTTCATGATGCAGAATCCCTGGCAACTCCCTAATTTGCTTCTCTGGTGTCAAACAGAACTGGGCCCTTAAGCTGTTTGGTGATTGCCTTTGGGTTTGAAGGAACTGTTTGTTCAGAGCTCATGTTCTAAGCCTGTTTGTGATTTTCATCTGAAGTCACATTGCCATGGTTTCCGCACATTCCGGCTGACTTAGTAAGACTCAATCCTTGTGAAGTTGGCTGCAAACGAAGAACCTAATTCCAGTTTCTAGGATAATCTGATTAGTCCTTTGCGTGTTACAATTATGAGCAGCAAGTGCTTGGAGTTTTCTTCTTTCCTTTTTTTTTTGGCTCTGAATAAACACAGAGCTCTTTCCCAGCATCACAGTGTACCTTTCCAAAGAGAGGGGATGGCATGTGAGGTATATCGCCACACAACACCCTTATTAGCAGGCTGTTGATTGCTACAATTTGCATCAATGAAGAGCGGATCCCTCTGGTATGTATCCCAAAATATCCAACAACCTTACTGAATTTACACCAACCAACAAGTGTGTGGATTTTTTTTTTTTTTTGTTATTTTAATGGTGAAATATGTCACTGTGCTAGTAAATACACCCAAGCCATCTGTTGGGTTTCGAGGGAGGCAGCTCCAAAGGACAATTAGTGGTGTGTACTCTGTTAGCTCTGTCCACCCAGTTGTGAGGAGAAAGATATTCTGCACCCTGTTCGTTTGACTTCTCCATACCACCTCTCTCCATACTGCTTCTTTTCCTTGGGCCCTACTCCTCCTTCCGTCTCCTGGCACCTGACACATACTCTCAGTGGGGTGTTGAGAGAGGAACTTTCAGAGATTTCGAAAGGAGCGTGCTTTGTAGGGAAAGAATGCTAAGGGGGAAAGTTGGTCTCATTGAGGCCGAGGAGGGACCACACTGCCAACAGAACGGCCTTGTTGATGTGTCCTCATAGCTGGATGAACCGTGGCCCTCTCAGATCTGACAAACTTGAAAGCTGAATGATAGAATCAAGGCCTTTTATGAAAAGTCCCCTTAGATCTTGGAAGTGTTCACTTACTACCATTGAGTGTTCTGTGCCATGCCTGATTGCAGATTTCACGTGGGTTTCAGACAAGTTGGGATGGACCAGAATCTTCCTGTTCTGAAAAGTGGCCCTCCCAAAGCTCTTGCAACCGGTCGATATTCCGTGCCACAGGCTATCTGGTGCAGTGGACCAGAGGCTAATAAAACTGTCCTTATGCATAAGCTATAGTACTAGGTGACCGTGTCTGGGCCAGGAACCAAGGCGTGCTATGATTTCAGAGCCCGGATTCCTGTCACCTGGGGAGGAGACATGCTCCAGTGACGTAAGAAAGCAGAAAAAAAATCAACCATCCCCAAGACCTGCAGCCTCCAAAATTAAGGGAGGAAAAAAAATCTGCGTGCATTTGGTTCAGTTGGCACCCATTAAAGCTAATAACTAATCATCCTGGCAAGTTTCTAGCTAAGAACGATGAGATCTGAAAAGAAAACAACATCCGTCCACTTTTACACTCCAGTGGAAGGGGTGGTCCCTCGCGGCAGGGCGGCACAGTCTCGCCATCTGGAGAATAAATCGAGTGTGAAGTACAGTATAGTTTGGGACCAAGCTCCGTGGCGGCCGCTCAGCAGTCAGTTCATTAGCCCCAAACTTCCAGGGATTAGAGGGGCATCAATTCTACTGTCGGATAGGATGAGACAGACAGGGCACAGGATTCAAGAAGCATCGAGACATCCAGGAGCCCCCTCGGGTTTATTTATAGAACCACAAAGTATAAACACACTCAAATAAGTGACTTAAATAACAGCATCATAACAGTTCCCTAACATCTGAATTAACACCTTCCTTCTCCCCCTACCCCCACCCCCAAACTGTGAATGTTAAAATACACCCTTTACTGGGACAAGCGAGAAGCTTGCCTCCACCAGATGCTAAGATCTGGTAATTAAGAAATAGGAAGGACCTCCTAGACTCGGGGGAGATGTACAGCATTTGTAATTAAAAACATATATAAAATTAATATTTTCATTCCATAAAGATGAATGTCATGCCTTATGTTCCAAAGCACTAGTAAATTCTACCTTTCCTACCATCTCCATTTCATCTCACTTATAAAGTGATGTCATAGGTGTGGACTCTTCCACGTTTTGAGCATTAGGCCTTGATACCAGCATCTTTATATTATAATTGTCAAGGCCAAGTTTAGCTTAAAACAAAACAAAACAACAACAACAACAACAACAAAAAAAACCAAAAAACTT